GGCATCGTGCCGCCAGGGTGGAGCTGTTTGGCAATCTCGTCCTGCGCCTCCTACGCAGCTGAGCATCGCTCCTCCCTGGGGGCCGCGCGACGCCGAAGAAGCTCGCGACGTCGGCCCCCCCATCGCGCGTCGGTCAAGCCTGTCTCTTGTAGCGTGACGTACAGGCCTCTGCCGAGCATCCATCAGCAGCGTCTCCAGCATCCCAAGGTGCCCGTCAGGCGCGCCATCCTCCGCCAACGCCCCCAGTTGCTCTGAGTGTGCGCTCAGCCACTCCGCAAGGTCAATCAAGATCTCGGGTTTCATTGTCTCTCGCGTGGCCGCGTACACCATCGCCGTCGGGTCACACTTAGGTTATGATTTCTCGCATGATTCGTCCGTCGTGTGATGCCGGCACCAGACTTCCAGCAGCAGTGGTCTCTCACAGGCTGCGCTGTGGCTCCGGCGCCTTTGAGAATGCGCGACCTGACTACGCACTCCACGAGCCCCAGAAGGTGGGCTCATGAGTCGATTGGAATATCGTCGGTGCCGCCCTGTGCTGTTCAACTAACAGCTCGCGTATGCTCTCGCCCGCTCCTCCCCGTCGGCGATCGCGCGTCGCAGGTGGGCCCGCGCCGTCACTAGACATGGCGCGCCACTCGCCGTCCGCCTTAAAAATGCCGATGCCGTCGTTCTTGTCCGCGTAAAAGAGAGGCAGTGTGCGCTGCTGCACGTTCATCCGGATCTGCTTCAACTAGGCCGTCAGCAGGCGCACGGCCTCTCTGTATGGCCCACATCGGACTCTGCTCGCAGAGCTGCGTTGGGGTAGTAGAGCACCCTGAGCGTCACGTCCATCATGCCCTTGTACACGCGGAGCGTCAGAGCGCGCCCATCCACCCCAGGTTGAGGGCCCCACGTGCGGCGAATGCGTCCTGGATGCCCTTCGCCAGCATGATTGCGCTGCCCGCGCGGCGATTCGTCCACGCCCCCTGGTGGAACGCCGCCTCCACAGTGAACTTGCCTTCGACTCGCTTGCGAAGCACTCGTCCGCCACGCCAATAGCTCGCCTTTGTGCTCACCAGCGGCAGACGGGGACGCCAGCGCCAGCTCCGCCAAGCGCGTGGCCGAGGAGGCGAAGAGCGAGTTGCGCCCCACCAGGCGCAGCACTTGCGACTGCGCAATCGCGGCGAGGCTTTGCCCACCGCCTCACAAGCCTTCAGCGAAACGCACGGTACGCAACTCGGGTGTCGTCGCCCCGCGAAGGATGCCACGTGCTTGTGCAAGCGAGGCTTCCAACATCATCAACACCATCACCGATCATCATCGACACCTTTAGCACCAACATCCTCATCGTCGTCGTCGTCCTTATCATCATCATCATCATCATCATCATCATCATCATCATCATCATCATCATCATCATCAACATCATCATCATGACCACCATCATCAGCATCAACATTCCCACCATCTAAACCGTCACCGTCACTGTTACAACCACCATCATCATCAACATCATCATCATCATCATCATTAGCATCAGTATACATCACCATCACCATCACCATCACCATCACCATCACCATCACCATCACCATCACCATAACCATAACCATCACCACCACAACCACCACCACCATCATCATCATCGTCGTCGCCATCACCATTATCATAATCACCATCACCATCATCGCCATCACAATCACCACCACCGTCACCATCATCACCACCATCATTATCATTACCATCATCGAGATTGTGACCGTGATCGTGATGACCATCATCGCCACCATCACCATCACCATCACCATCACCATCACCATCACCATCACCATCACCATCACCATCACCATCACCATCACCATCACCATCACCATCACCATCACCATCACCATCACCCACCATCACCATCACCATCACCATCACCATCAACACCATCCTCATCACCATCCTCTTCACCATCATCACCATCACCACCACGATCATCATCACCACCATCATCATCAGTACCAACATACTCATCACCATCAATCCGCCGACGCTGTCGGCGTGTGGAAGAGGCTGTTCCATTTGACTCATCGTCGTCGTCTTGGTGGTCGTTGTCGCCGTCGTCGTCGTCGCCTTCGCCGCTCCCCTCCCCTTTCCCTATGCCCGTCAATGCTCCCCCCACTTTCACCGGGCCCTCCTCCTCGAGCGCGCCAGCCACAGCGAAATGGAGCAACGTTGTAGTTGAGTCGAAGGGAAGCCCCTTCCCTTTAGTCCCTTCCCCGCCGAGAGGGGGGGGGGTCCGGGAGGGGTCGCCACCCGGATACGACTCCTCCCCAGGCGGTTCGGGGGTCCAGAAAAGCTCCATGACGCAGCAAAAGTGCCCCAAGATGCCCCCAAGACGGTCCTCGAGGACCCCGAATCGCCGAAGTATCAGTCCAAGTCGCCAAAGTAGCCTCCAGACAGCTCAAAAGGTTCCCCAAACGCCCCATGAGGCCTCCAAGAGGACTTCCAAGAGGGGCCCAAGAGGCCTCCAAGAGAGCCCCCAAACGACCCAAGAGGGCCCCACGACAGCCGAAGTGGCCCCCAAGACGGCTCCAAGAGGGAGCCCAGACGGGGGACCTGAACGGTCATTTCGAGCCCTCGGCCTGAGAAGTTCCCAGGAGGCCCTCAGAGGCCCCTAAGAAGCCCCCTAAGAAGCCCCAAGAGACCCCCAAGAGACCCCCAGGAAGCCGCAAGAGGCCCCCACGAGGCTCCCAAGCGGCCCCCACGAGACTCCCAAGATGCCCCCAAACTACCGCCAAGAGGCCCCCGAGAGCGCTCGTCGTCGTCGTTGTCGCCCTCGTCGTCGTCATCGTCATCGTCGTCGTCGTCGTTTTCGTCGTCGTCGTCGCCATTCAGGGTCGGCGGCACCGGCCGTAAGGCCTTCGCAATAGTCATCATCAATTTCATCATCAGCATCAGCATCAGCATCAGCATCAGCATCAGCATCAGCATCAGCATCAGCATCAGCATCAGCATCTAAATCATCATCATCATCATCATCATCATCATCATCATCATCATCATCATCATCATCATCATCAGCATCATCATCATCATCATCATCTTCATCATCATGTTCATTATCACGTTCAGCATCATCATCATACTCCGAATCTTAATCATAATCATAAGCATAATCATCATCAGCATCATCCTTATCATCATCGAGGCTACGGATCGGAGGCAGCAACGAGGGGGCGGGAAGGCAGTCTATGGCCGGCCCCCTAAACGTCAGGGCCCTACCAAGCGCTGGCTGGTCCACGTGCGATCGCCACCGCACCGGGGGCGTCTCAAAAGAGCGACCCGTCTGTAACCGGGCAGCCAGGACCACACGCCGCCCAAACGAAAAGTCGAAAAGGAGCCCGCGCTTTTCCTTCTCTTCACCCACCTCCTTCCTCCCTCACCTCTTCCTTTCTCCTCTCTCTCCTCTCCTCCCCCTCCTCCTTCTCCTCGTCCTCCTCCTCCTCTTCCAGTCGCCGTTCCAGCTCGAGGGTCTTGGGTGCCGTTGCCAGGCGCGCTGACCTTCGGGCTCCAACGTAGGCCAGCTGGCCTTCCAAATCGCACGTCCGATTAGAATCGGTGCCCCCCAGCTGTCCATCATCTTCGTTGTCATGGTCTCCACTCCTTCACATTAATCTTCTGATCTGGTTGAGACGAAGAAGCTGCGCGGGCAAAGAGAACTGCGGGAGAGGCCGGCTGCAGCCAGGGGCCTAGAGCTTGCGTAAAATTTGAAGCACATCTAATTAATTACTTCAAGCGTTGCTTGATGTGACTCGTCAGACTTTGACTCAGCAGGCCGCACACACACACACACACACCTCCTTCACAATATACAAATATGTGCGACCATGCGTGCAATCATTCCCTGTCATGCTGATGCAAGCGCCACCGAGAACGACCGAGCGGAGTGGTGAACGCATTTGTCGCATGATGATGCAAGGTTCGCCATTGCACGCCTGAAAACGCCTGCTGGTCCTGCGAATCGTCCTAATCCTCATAGTCGTTGTCGTCGTCGCCCTTCTCCTACTCCTGCTCCTGCTCGTCCTCATGCTCGTCCTCCTCGTTATCTGTGGGCGTTAACGGCCAGGGAGCCCGCACTCAGAAGGCTGCTTCGGAGCTGCTGAGTACACTGGGGGAGGAGAAGGGAAGAGAGGATATGTGAGAGGAGGGGAAGTTTTGTTTGTTAGCTTGTCAGTTTGTCGTTGTTGGACTTCAGAGTTCAAACCCTGACAACTGGATTATATATGACAGGGGAATCGGAAGGGAGAGGATGGGGGATGGGGGTTGGGAGGAAAGGGGAGTGAATGAAATGGGATGTAGGGGTAGTGTAGGGCAGGGAGTGGCAGGTAAGGGGGGCGGGGGAGGATTGTATACCAAGGGTATGGGAAGGAACGGAAGGACGTTGTGGAATGGACTGGCAGGGAGAAGGGCAACGGCCAGAAATCTGCTGCCGCGGCGCAAGACACGCTGGGTCTGAGGCGAGACGCACTGTGCTACCAGCGAATCGACGCATGTGACCTGGCCGAGGCAAAGCTTGACGAGTCTATATATATACTACAGCCCAGCGGACGTGCATGGGGATGCGCTTGAAGTGCCCAACTCAACACAGACTGATCCTCGCCACGATTTTCAAATGGTTACACACGCAGTGTATACGGAGGCTGCGCGCTGGGTGCACATGCGGAGGGTCGACGTGCACGGCCGCACTAGGGCGGAGCGCTGGAAATACCTGCGACCACATGTCTATCCAACTCTCGCCCAGGGCAGCCACGTCATGCGTATAGAGCTGTCTAGTAAATCTTCTTCGAGCGTGTATGTGTCTGGCTGTTATGCTTGTGGGAAGGTGCGTGTGAGCACGCGACCCTCGAATGCTGGTGGCGACGACAGTCTCGAGCCAGAGCAGGCGCTTCAACAATACATGGAAGAGAATCATGTGAGGGCTGGCGTCGCTGGGGATCGGCAACATCATTACACACGTAGGTGCGAGAGCGAATCTACTCGCGACCTTTGTCTGCCTCCCCATGCCAGCCCTCCTCATGCCGGGAGTCTCCACTGCTGATGATCTGGGCGGCCCAAGGTCCCCAAGGCGGCTCCAAGACGCGCCTGGCCGCTCCCAAGATGGTGCAACCGATCCCCTTCGGGAAGGCCCGGTGGAACCCTCGCGCCCAGAACGGCCCCACGGCATCCCAACGGGCCCCCAACACGCCCTGCACTGGAGGATCTGGAAGCGTCCATCAAACATCAAACATGCTTGCGGGAGGGAGGAGGGAGGCGGGGGGGATGACGACGAGATAGAGGAATGATGATGGTAAGGAGGGCGAGGGGGAGGAGGAGGAGGAGGAGGAGGAGGAGGAGGAGGAGGAAGAGGAGCAAGAGGGGGAGGAGGAGGATAATAAGGATAAGGCCCTTGGGGGTCTGTCAACTTCGCCTACCGACAGGCATGCTGACCCCTGGGAGATATATGGATGCGAGCCCACCCTAGCTCTGGGGGGGCCGCCTGAGGCGACGGGGCCCGTCCCTCTGTTGGACGTGGTCCCCGAGCCTCGCTAGCAGGGAGACCCTGCCTCGGTTTCGGCCTGTCAACTGTTGCAGGCGGTGTGGGGCTGCCTCGCTGGGCGCACCCCTCACCGCTGAGAGCCCACCCACCTCCGCTACCCAACCGCCCCACTCCCCACTCCCTAGACGGTAGAGAGAGGCAAAAAAAAAGAAGAGGCGGCCTGGTACATCTCCCTGCACTCGGCTTGTGTAGGTGCATGGCCGCACTGGCCCACGCGGTGAGTGCTTGCTGCCGAGCCCCCGCTTCTAGGGCTGAAGTGGGGAGAAAAAAAAAGAATGGAAAGCCAGGCCTGGTGCAATCTGCTCTCTACTGCTGCCCTATGCCCCAGCCTGCCGCTGCTGCCGCCCTTGGCGATGAGAGCCTGACGTCCCTGCTCTGAGCGGAGCCGTCGGCCTTAGTGACTGCGGTGGCGGCGGCTGGGGTGCTAGAGCTGGCCTCACTGCACAACACCTTGCCACGGTTCTCCCAGCCCTCTATGCTCTTGCTCGGGTTGGTGCACGGCGGCCTGCGAGCGGGCTGGAGGTAGTCCTTGATGACCATCTGCGGCTCCACCATCGGCTCCGTCTGCGTGTCGCAGGCGAAGAAAGCCTCGTCGTAGGCGTAGCCGTGCGGGCCCTTGGTCCAGCGCGTGTATATGTTGTCGATCTCGTCGGCCTGGCGCCTCGTGTAGTCCAGCTCCCATGGCATCGGCCCGTGCATCGTCTTGCCCATCTTGTCGTCGGTGATGCCGATGGCGCTCCTCATCGAACTGATGGCGCAGTTGATGTCGTGGAGCTGCTCCTTGAGGTAGAGCTTCGCTTGGCTACGCTCCGCTTCTTCATATGGATTGAGGCTCCTCGCGTTCATGCGGCCTAAGGTGGTCACCACCTTCCCCCGCTGCTTGTGGAGCGCGTGGAGGGCCTTCTCGCAGTGCTCGGTCGCCACCTTGAACGCGACGGCGGTGCTCTGGAGTGTGTTGTGCGCGATCTCGAGCCTGTACGCCGCCGTGCCCGCGACTTGGTCCGCCGCTCCTCCCATGCCTCCTCTGTCGTGCGGCTTCTGCACTATCGTTGGCTGCAGATGCTCTTCTGCAGCTGGCTGCTGCGCCATCTCCCCCTTCTCCGTGTGCGCCTGCGCCGCCATCGCAGCTCTGGTCGTGCGCCCTCGGGGCGCTGGCTCTGGACGTAGGCGGAGTGTCCGCCAGCAATGGATAGAGAGGCCGCGAAGATGCTCGAGTCGCAAATGTCCTCTGGTAGTATGTCGAGCTGTGTACTGATCCTCGTTTACCTTAGTGGTCCCCGCCTACTGTTGTACACCTTAGATATTGTAGTAGTTTCCTTAGTTCCCAGTAGTTGGGCCGTAAGGAACCGTAGTAGGATCTTGATGTGAGAGTAGGCGTAGGCTCGGTCGTTTGCTGCTGTCGGAATCCTGTGCCTGTCCTTAGTGTGCGATTCTTACTCACTCTATCCTCTGGAGGTCGAGACAGGTAACAGTTGTGATAGCTAAAGCGGGCAAAAGCTGGATGTATCTGAGCGGGAGAGGAGAGGTCGAACCGTGGTCGGATCACAATCGCATGGCTGTGCTGGATGTTGTGGTGTGGTAGTTCCCTGTGTATGCTGTCATAGTACGCGATGTGTACCCTGTAGCATGTACTGTTGTTCTGTATACTGTCCAGTACGAAGTCGCAGATACGTCGGCTTCGAGCGTGCATCCACGGTACTGCATGACAGACAAACCCCGACTGTGAGTGGAACTAGTAGAGAGCTGATGGCCTAGGGAAGAGATGGTAGGTTGGGAGTGGGAGTTGGTGGGGGGAGGGGGCGTAGGTAGTGGGAGCCCGTGTAATGGTAGGGTGACGGCTGAATAATTAGAAGGTCCGCCGTCCCCCTCATTTTTTTTGCCATAGGCTGGTAATAGTCCCTTGGTCGTAAGTCCCGATAGTACGTAGCCATCCGATATAGGTATGCCATCTGGCCTCCGTGTTGTTCGGCCTGGCTTCTGAGACTCGCCATACGAACAAGGTCTGCACTAATCTGCTGTGCAATTTTTTCCTCTCGGATCACTGGCGGTGATGATGGTGGCCAGGCACGAGGGCGCCCCATGGAGTTGAGGCGTGGCTCGACGGCGCTGCTCGACAACGAGCTGCTGGCTCCGCTGGGCTGCGGGCCTGGCGGGAGCTGGCCCGCGGGGCTCTCTCGCTCGCGGCGGGGCGAGCTGCTGGGCATTGGCTGGGGCGTGCCTTGGCTCACCTCCTGTTGAGCTGCGCCTCCGCTGCCCTCTCCAGGCCCGTCTTCGGGCCTCCTGAACGGCTCTTCGTGGCCCCGAGGTGCGCCAACGCGTGGCCCAGGGCCTGCTTGAATATGTCCCCCTTGAAGCCCGCGATCTTGTCGTACTGCTCCTGCTCCAGCTTCTGGTCGTACAGCGCGGCCCTGAAGCTCGGCGCCGTGTTGATCGTGTAGATGAGCTTGGCCTTGCACTGCTTGATGTCCATATCCACGTCCTCGCCCGTCTTGTTGTATGCCTCCTGGATCTTGCACTGCAAGAAGACCTCCGTGATGAAGATTGGTCCCCAGGGTTCGTCGAGCTGGCTCATGAACTCCTTCAGGAGCTGTCTCACGTGGAGGAGGGACGCGTCGAGCTTCTGCTCCTCCGAATCGAGCACCGCCACGATCTCCTCGACCAAGCTCGCCGCCACCTGGCCATGCGGTGGGCCGAGGCCGTGCCCCTTGCCCAGCTGCTTTACCTTCCGCCCGTACTCCCTGCCGGTCTCCATCGGCGCCTGCACCCATTCTGGCTCGAGCGGCGTCAGCCAGAACTCTCCCGTGAGATGCAGAAAATTGCGAATCTCGTTCGAGTTCTGGAGGGTGAGCCTCTGGAGCGATCTCAGCTGGTCCCGAAGCTCCACCTGGCCGCCTCCTCCACCACCACGGCCGCCTCCTGGGGGTCCTCGACCGCCTCCTCCTCGGCGCTGGGTGGGGGGCGGCTGCTGCGGCGTCTGCTGCGACTGCTGCGTGTCTGACGAGCCGACTCCGCCTCCGCCGAGGTGTGGGCGCTGTGCTGGTCGCTGCCCTTCGGCTGCGCCCCCTCCTCTCTTCGTGCTGGCTCTGATGCGCCAGTCGCCGTGGCCCCCGTGCGACATGTGCTCCTTCTCCCCGTGCTGCTCTGATCGACTCTGGCCCTGCTATGTGCTCGCGTATGTGTGCGTGGTAATCCTCAAGAGTTTGAGCCTCGTGGTTACAGATCTGGCAGCTAAGGGAGCTGGGGTCGGAAATGGGGTGGGACCACATCGACCTGTCTTGGTGGCAGATACCGTGACCGTGTACAGCCCTGACTGCGTGGTCGACACATACCTTACGATTAATAAATGTGCTCTTGCACCAGGGACACTGGTTGTTGACGATTACGGACGCCACCACTGGTCGGATGTTGTGGGTCTCTCGGCGATACCCAGCTAGTGCTGCGTATGTCGCAAAAGCATGCCGCACCTCTGTTCCGTGTCGTTCTCGCCCTTCGTCGTATGATCGCACCAGTAAGGTTTTAATGTATCCTCCTCCCTGCCCTCCTCCTCCTGTATCGTCGCATCTCGTGTCGTGAGCACATCCCAATTTCGCTCGTAACTGTACAATATTGATGGGTCTGCTTGTAACCAGTTTTTTTGTTCCGTACTCCCCTGTTCGAATATGGCGAGGTCGGGTTCCCTGTCTGCATACCATCCCATGCTCTCGTCCACTGTTGCTATCACATGCATGTCGGCTGCAAACTGCTGTGCCCACGGGGTGGAGGTGGGCCCCGCGAATCCCTGCCCCTCTAGTCGCCGTATGTCCTGAGCCGCGTCTAGTCTGGATGTTCCGAACACCGCTGCGATGACTGCTCCGTGCTCCCAAGGGCGCCTTGACCAGTTCTGATACCATCGTAGGCGTCGCACAAGCAAAGATACGGATGTGCGCTCAAGTCTCCAGTATCTGAACACCTGTCGCAAGTTGTTGCACCTCACTGTCCCATCTGTTCTGGTCCACGACATTGCTCCTCCCGCTAGCGTCCGTAGGTACTTGCCTAGTACGCTGTCGATTGCTGTTGTGTGGGCATCTGTCAGAACTAGCGCAGGCAATCCGCTAAGGGCCGCACCTACCACGAAGGCCATGAACATCATGCGTTTCATTTGTCGGGGTACCTTAGAGGTCCAGAAGATCCCGCGCTGTCGCCATGCAACGCGGATGGCTGCGATGCGCCGCACGACCTCGCCAGTGATGCCCTGGCCAGCTGGTAGGTAGGGGCCAAGTACACGCATCTCCCTTAGCGCCTGACCTTGCAGTGTTTTGCTGCGTCTGAGTTGTCTGGTTTTCCCGTAGCAGCCTTGCCCTACTAGGTATAGTAGGTGGTTGGTCTTGGCATTATTGAGTCCCCATCCTCCTGCTGCTATTGTTTGGGAAAGGCGTTCTGTGTTGCTGTTGAGTTGTTGTTCAATATCTCCAGCCGTCGCTGCGGGTAAGATTGTCTGCACATAGGTGATG